CAGAAAATTGGAATAGATGGCCTTTACCTCAACTTGATAAAGGCTATCTATGAAAACCAACAACTAACATCATATTCAATGGCCAAAAACTAAAAACTTCCATGCTAATATCAGGAACAAGACAAGGATGTCTGCTATTACCACTCCTGTTCAGTATAGTTCTGGAAACATTAGCCACAGAAAGTAGACATGAGAAAGAAATTGAAGCAATAAAGATATGAAAGGAAGAAGTTAAATTGTCATTATTTGCTGATGATGTGATACTCTACATAGAAGACCCAAAAAACTGCCAAAAGACTTCTAGAAGTAATTGACGCTTTCAGCAAAGTAGTTGGATACAAGGTCAACACTGAAAAATCATTAGTCTTCTTGTACACAAATAACAGTCTCACTGAGAGAGAAATTAGTAAAACAATTCCTTTCACAATAACATCCCCCAAAAATGAAGTATATAGGAATCAATATAACAAAGAAAGCTAAAGACCTCTACACTAAAAACTACAGAACTCTGAAAAAAAGATTGAACAAGATATAAGAAAATAGAAAGAAATACCCTGCTCCCAGGTAGGAAGAATCAACGTAGTGAAAATGGCCATTCTACCAAAAATGCTATACAGATTCAACGCAATTCTGATTGAAATTCCAACAGTATATTTCACAGAACTACATAAAATAATTCAAAAATTCATTTGGAACCAGAAGAGACCTAGAATAGCAAAAGCCATTCTAGGCAACAGAGACAGGGGGTATCACAATCCCCAACTTGAAACTGTACTACAAAGTCACTGTGATAAAAACAGCATGGTAATGAAAAAGATGCTAGGATAAGTGGAACAGATTAGAAGATGTAGAAATAACTCCAGATGTCCTCAGCTCCCTCATTTTTGACAAAGGAGCCAATGATCCTCAGTGGAGGAAAGATAACTTATGTTGGAAAAACTGGACTTCAACCTGCCAAAAGGTTAAAACTAGACCCCATTCCTTCACCATGCACTTAACTAAAATCCAAGTGCATTAAAGAGCTAAATATTAAAACTGAAACTCGAAAATTGCTAGAAGATAAGTTAGGCAGTACTCTTGAAGACATTGGCATAGGAAAAGACTTTATGAACAAATCCTCAGTAGCAAGGGAACCAGTACAAAGAATCAGCAACTGGGATCTCATCTTATTAAAAAGCTTCTGCACTGCAAAAGAAACCACCAACAGAGCTAAGAGACAACCTACAATGTGGGAAAAAACGTTCACCAGCTGCTCCTCAGACAAAAGACTATTATTTAGCATACATAAAAAAGCAAAATAAAAATCAGGCCTTTCAAATATAAAGACCAGATTCAAAAATGGGCACCTGAAATGAACAGACATTTCTTAGACAAAGAAGTAAAAGCAGCAAATAAATCTATGAAAAAAATGTTCACTTTCACTGGTCATCTGAGAGATGCAGAGGAAAACAACACTGAGATTTCACCTCACCCCACAAAGAATGGCTGCTATCAAGAAATCAACCAATAACAAATGCTGGTAGGGCTGTGGGGAGAAAGGAACCCTTCTGCATTATTGTTGGGAGTGCAGACTGGTGCAACCACTGTGTAAATCAAGATGGCGATACCTCAGAGAACTAGGATAAGAGGTTCCATTTGACACAGCTATGCCCTGCTGAGTATCTTCCCAAAAGGATTAAAAGAATCATACTACAGTGATATATGCAGTCCCATGTTTATAGCGGCACAGTTTGTAATAGCTGAAATTTGGAAACAGCCCAGTTATCCATCTGTTGAAGACTGGATAAAGAAGATGTGGTTTTTCTATAAAATGGAGAACTACTAAGCCATAAAGAGTGAGAACCTAGAGTCATTCATAGGGAAATTGATGCATATTGAGATCATACTCAAGTGAAATAAATAAGACACACATGTTAATACTGAATCATTTTTCTAATGTGAAAAACTAAAAGTGTAAATAAGATCTAAATTGTATACCTGATGATGTGAAATAGGAAGAAAAGGGCTAAAGGTGTATGGGAAGTGGTAAAAGAGTAAGGGAAAGGAAATAGGGAAAAGAAAAAACATAAGAAAAGGAAAAAAAATTGAAATAAAGTCTTTGTAAATAGGGAGTAGTAGAGGGGGTGAAGGGAGGGCAGGGGTCTGGGGAAAAAATGAGAACCAAGACCTGTCATGTAAGGTACAAGATCCCAATGATGAATGTACCTGTACTGCTGTACTGTATACTTTAAAAGTACCAATCGCTGTGAGAAATGTTCCCTTCATTCTAGAAAAGGTATATCACTTAACTTTGGCATATAAAAATAATATTAGTTTACTGAATGGAAATTGATAACTTGGTCTAGCTCATAAATTAAATGCCAGTCTGTATAAATACTTTTCCATTAAAAAGAAAAACATCAATATATTTCCAAGTAATTCTGTGCCTGTGATTCAAATTACAATAAACAAGTACATAAGCCAAGTGGCATTAAGCACATGTTATAGTATCTTATTGTAATAGCTACAATGAGATTGTCCTGCACATGATATTCTTATCTTTTTTATTTTTTAAAAAATATCAGTGAAGGGATTTTCCACATCTGAAACATTCTCATGGTTATATTCATATTTCAGTGATGCAGAGCATCACTATTACATGCACAGCAGTAATGGGGGCCTCATAAGAGCCATACCATAGACAAGACACTAAGGGTCATTCAAGTCCCAGAATCCTGGCCATCTACTCCATCCTTTCTTTCCCGAACAAGAAAGTATATAGAATACAACTAGTGAGAAAAATATTAATTCTATAAATAACGTCACACTCATTTAACTGAATAAAAAAATGCAAGTCAATCTCAAATTTTAGCAATTCATTATTAGTAACTAATAGCAAAACACCCTTTTCAACACTTCATTTCACAATCACTGTTCTAACCAATCACAAGTAAAGTTAACAAGCACTTTAATATAGACTTCACCAACAAGTCCATGCATTAATATATCTAATCATTTATGCAAGAGAAATAGAATTGCTTTTAGGTCATTTATTTTCACTTTCAAGTTTCTACTAGATTTCCTCTTAACAGACACTTCTGCTATACTGTGACATAAAATAATCGCAACATTTTCAGTCTTTGTCTCACCTTTGGAATATCTCATAAAGATTATATTTCTGCATACTAACAATTCATAGGCAAGTAAAGGCCTTAGGAATATTTTTAATCATATTTATAACTACAAAAAAAGAACTACAAGTAATCTCCTATCATTTTGCTTCACTTATCCACACTCTTTTCAACCCAGCTCTATTATTGTATGTCTATCCAAAGTTGAAGGAAAGCAGTTCCTTCTTTATTGACAATATCACTGGCCTTTCATGCATGGTATATAAAAGTAATCATTTAATTCTAGTAAGATTTCATATTTAATTTTTGATAAAGTCACGCAGATGAACTTTTATTCACTTTTTCTTTTTTTTTTTTTTTTGGTACCGGGGATCAACTCGGGTCCCTGCACTTGCAAGGCAGGCCACCGAACTGCTGAGCTAAATCCTCGGCCCTTTTTCACATATTTAAAGGTGTTCAATATTATACTGTGCATACATAACAAAATAGACATGTACAGCTTTCAGAAAATCCAATGGGTAAGGCCAAGCTGAAAGAGACCAGGTAATTAGAATTCAGGTATAGTTTCCATTAACTAAAAGATTCTTCTTTTTACATAATGAGTTTCCATAGCAATTAATAAACAAAAAAGTTCTGCATGCATTTCAAGTGAAAAAAATTCCATAATGTATCAGGTTGTTCACATATTTTATGGCCTAGATATAGTCATGGGATAAAGTATATCTGCATTCCTGCTATAAAGTAAATGCTAAAAATATCACTCATGAGGGGGGCAGAACTGCAAAAAGCATCACCTCAAAAGATGCCACTCTGCCATAGGACTACTCCAAGTTTAAGGCAATTGAAAATCAGCAGCTCTAAGAGCATACTAATTTCCCTTTTTCTTCATAAAAATGGAAGGTGAAAATCTCTCACGTGATAGTTTCCCTCCCTCTAGTAGAAAACAAGAAACATTCTTTGATATGGAGTCCTAGCGGAAAGAATTCAGTAAAACAGACCTTGTTAAAATACTTATCTTCCTTCAACCCCTCACATAATTTACTTTTCCACAATCACCTCTCTTTGTTCAACCTAACACAAAACTGAAGAGGTGTGTCTCACCTTTAGGTCTTGATTTCCTTATGAGAACACCTGTTCCATGTAAAACTTATATTAAACTTATACACTTTTCCCCCTTAGATTTGTTTTAATCTATTTAATTATCAGCTCGAAGTGGCACCCAAGGAGGATAGAAGTAAATTTGCCTCTTCTAATATTTAGCAATATGATCACTATCACTCTTACATTTTTAACTAATGATTTTGAAAATCAAGGCCTATGTATTTACATATTGTACTGCTAACCATTAACTGAAAACATGAGCTACAAAGCACTCCTATGGCAGAAATAAAGATCTCCCAAGTGGGACTAGTCAGCCAGCTGCAAGCAGCTTTTAGTAAAATCATACTTGGTATCAACCGCTTTGAAATTCGTCTAATTCAGTACTCCACACAAAACACCTTGTGCTGGTACTTTCGTTTGGTACTTGATACACCAGTGAGAACTTGTCAATATCCTCTGCCTCCTGACCTGCCACCCTTTCCAGCCAGAAAAATTTGTTTTCTACTTCTAGTTTTGCGGTTCTTCACACCAATTTAAGATGAGTAAAGAGGCACCACTGCATTGAGCTGAAGAAGAATCTAAGTTCTTTTCCATACATGCACACCCACAAAACCGTGAGAGCTTATCTATCTATCTATGATATTTAAAAGCAAACATTTGAATGTAACCTTTTCACTAAAAAATTCCCAGTCTCTCTTGTCCTAATTGCCTAAGTAAACTACCCAACTGAGCTTTTGTTCTCATCTTTGAAATCATATTATATTGGTAACGGGATGAAAGATGACTTACCGGCCCAAAAGAATTGCTGTCAAAACTGTGTCCATGATGATCACCTTCAACCCAGATGTGACCACGGGGAACTTTGACATACCGGTTTTTGTGTCCCATGGTTCTAGGAACAAACAAGGTAAACACTGAGACAAGAACAGAAAGCAGATTCCACAGCTCAGTAAATACTAAGAAAGGACAGAACTGATATCAAGATGCAACAGATTTGAGTTTTTTGTGGGAAAATGGATGCACCTTGAGACCATAATGTTAAGTGAAATGAATGAGACACACAAATTTAAATATCACATGGTTTCTCTTATATGAGAAATATAAATAAAGAACAAAATAAAAGACAGGTCATAGGCAACAGGGAGATAGATCATTTTCAAGTGGAAAGTGGACCAAGAAATAAAGAGAAGGAACAGGGAAGGGAAGGAACAAAAACACAATTAAAATCTCCATGGGCCAACTTCCCGCAAGGAATGAAATTATTATGTACTGCAAACATGTACTAGTAATAACAAAAGTCTTTTATATGACAAAAACAATGCAACAGAGAGGTTAACTGTGTAACTGGCCCATAACTTCATCTTTAAGTAAAACGTAGTTAGGTTACTGTAAATCTATTCACATTTTTTAAAAACTTCTACAAGTAGGAATTTTGTGTTTAAATAGAATCTACAAGCACCAAGTATAATTTTTTGCTAATTAACTCAATATCTAAATATGTACTTATGAAACTCAGTAGAAGCTAACAAAATACAGATATATTTGTTTTCTAACATTTGCTTGTGTGTAAATAAATATTTTTTCCAACTTATTCATGGACAGCTGCAATCTTCTTTTTTTTTTTTTAGTTAAACTTCTCAAACAGACAAAACTTAACCTCTTACTCTAAAATTCAGCATTAATAAAAAGAAAAGGAAGGAAAATATCTATCTATATCTTATCAGATAGAAAGACAATATAATTTGAAAATTTTTGATTACTACTAAAGTAATCTTAAAGACAAAAGACATTTTGATCTTTACACTTTTAGTTTATCATACCAGAGAAACTATATGGTATTTACATGTGTGTCCTATTAATTTCACTTAAGTATGTCCTCAAAGTGCATCCAATTACCTATAAATGTCTCTAGTTTCTCATACTTTATGGCTAAGTAGTACTCCACTTTTATTTAAAAACCACATCTTCTTTATCCAGTATCCAGTTGTTGGGCAACTGGCCTGTTTCCGACTTTTAGCTATTACACACTGTGCCACTATAAACATGGGTGAGCACATGTCGCTGTGGTATGATTCTTTTATCCTTCTGGGAAGACAGCAGAGGAATATCTGGATCAAATGGGACTTCTAATCCTAGTTGTTTGAGGTATTTCCATATTGATTTCCACAGTGTTTGCACCAGTCTGCACTCCCACCAGTAATGAAGAAGGGTTCCTTCCTCCCCACAGTCCTGCCAGCATTTGTTATTGGTTGATTTCTTGATAGCAGCAATTCTTTCTGGGGTGAGGTGGAATCTTAGGATTGTTTTCCTCTGAATCTCTCGAATGACCAGTGTGTAATAGGAAGAAAAGGTTGAAAGGTGTAGGGAAAATAGGAGGGGTAGAGCAAAGAAGGGAAAAGAAAAATTAAAAGTAAAGGAAATAAATGGAAACAGTCTTTGTAAACAGGGAAGAGTGGACAAGGGAAGGGCGGCTAGGGGAATGGGAAAAGAATAAGAACCAAAGTATGCCATGTAAAGATACAAGATCCCAACGCTGAATGTAACTGTACCACGTACCTAAAGTGTATCAATTAAAAAAAACATTTTAGCAATTTTTAAATTATTTAAAGATCAGTGATAGAAGATACATACTTAGCAGAATATTCTATATTCTCAATGATGGCAAGGAAAAGAAATAAGAATAGGTTCTCTCACACAGTGTCTATGACAATATAGAATGATACAACCTTTTAACCTATATTTCTGATTTGGATCAATTTTGGCAAATTTTAAGAGACTGAAATTGTTACAGCTTTTGAACTAATTATTCCACTTACAGAAGCCTATCCTAAAGAAATGATCAGGAATATGGACATTTATTATCAGAAATGTTCAATCTGGAATTTTGATACCCCCCCTTCCCCCAACTCATTTCATCTAAATGTCTAACAATACTGTATTGATTCAATAAATTCTGATACAACCGATTTAAAAAAGAGGTTGTACTAAAATAAAATACTATCTCCATCCTAGAATAACAATTTCATTTTGGAGCATAGACTGCTTTATTTTGGTTTCCCTCCCTCGAGCATTCTGGAAACATGCCTCTCCTAAAGAACGTTCTCAACAAACGTTTGCTGAAAGAATGAATGAAGATCACTCCCACGCTAATGAGTTTAGAACCCACGTATGGCCCTATATTCTTTGATGTGGAATCTTTGTAAGCTCAATTGTATCAGCAAGTTATATACATATATACAGAAGAATACATTAAAAAAAGGGAAATTACACCTAAATTGAAACTATTCATTATCTGGATGGTTTTTAATTTCCAAGATAATTTCAGCGTTGAATGACTTTGCTTTAGATCAGTAAGTCATTCATGCAAGTAAGTAAAGTTGTGGCCATTAGAACCTCACAGTATGTTAATGACTGCTGTTTATTTTTAATTACTACTGAGAAGAAAGTTTTCAGCTTTTCAGAGAAAAGCAAAAACAAGTTGAATGCCTTTTACTGTCTTAGACTTTGTAATATAAGCATTCTATTAAAACCAATTAGTTCTTGACATCACTACTGCTTTTATTATGAAATTGTTTCCAAGAACTAATATTCCACATCAAGTGTTAATGACAAAGACAAGACCCTTTCACATAATTGTAAGAAATGCATAATCCCCAAGTAAATCCAAATGTTTGTTCACCTCATTAAGACAATATTTGGACAACTACTTGGAAAGAGAACAATTTCAAATTTTGTCTCTTCAAGCAACCACTTAAGAATCATAGGTATGTATATATATAGGAAAAAGAGACAAGAGTTTGTTACTATTAGAGATTTCACACATTCATGGGAGGGGGTATCTTAGAATATACAGTGTTCCTCATGGATAATTGGAAAAGGTGTGTGTGTGTGTGTGTGTGTGTGTGTGTGTGTGTGTGTGCATATGTTCACAGTGTCTAGGGCTGTCTCACCAGATCAAACAAATGTAGGTTTCTATGGATGACACACCCTTCTAAGTGACATTTACAGGCAGAGTGCTGGATTGAGTGGACACCAAGCCCCTGAGCCTCGCTTGTCCCTTCCTTCTTGAGTTTTTCAAGTTAATTTGATGTGATTTTTTTTGTTAGCAAAGTTGTCAGCCAAGGAGCCAGAACTGTCTAAGCTCTCACAGCAACTTCCCATATCCAGTAGTTACCACCTAGATTGCCAGATGAAGAAGAATTCTGAGGATACCAAGAAGCCTTGTGAGGAAGAAGCCTGACTGATTATTCATGTCTGCCCTGAGCGCAGAAATAGCAAGGGAGAGTATTAATGATAACATAAACAGCAATAACTACAATAAGACATTCCTCATCAGCACATCAGGAATATCAGTCATGGAAATGAAGGTGCTTTGTGAACTGAACAGATAGACTACATTCTTTGACTGTGAGAGAAAATTCTGTTTAAAGTTACAAAGTAAATCCAAAGAAAATAATTTCTGCAATGAAATGGTAGAGTTTAAGTCAAACTTAGCCTTCTAGAAACCAGAGAATGACAAAACCCAGACTGAATTTCAAGGTGATATAAACCAAGGAGTCAAGACTTGTGAAAGAAAATGACAGCACTGTAAAAGCACCAGTGACAGTTGTACATTTCCTTGAATTGACCATCTTAACTAAAATATATCAATAGATCCTTTATCCTATTATTTTCTACCCACTTACAATGCTTTACTTTTCTCTGTTTCACCTGACATGTGTTTATGGGTTTGCTTACTCTCTGTCTGCCCCTACTTGAATGGAACCTTCAGAAATTTGCTTTCCTTCACACCAGAGAAACTATTCGGTATTTATACATGATGTAATGACAACGTGAAATAGGAAGGAAGGGGCTAAAGGTGTAGGGGAAGTGGGAAGGGTAGGGGAAAGATAATGAGGGAAAAGAAAAAAATGAGAAAATGAAACAAAATGGAAACAAAGTCTTTGTAAATAGGGAAGGGAAGAGGGGATAAAGGGAGGGCAGGGATGAGGGGAAAAAATGAGAACAAAGACCTGCCATGTAAAGGTATAAGGTCCCTATGCTGAATGTAACTGTACTGTATACCTAAAATGTACCAGTAAACTCAACGACAAAAAAAAAAAAGAAATTTGCTTTTCTTATTCAGTCAACAGAGTATGCCCAGAGCTCAGAAGAATACACTGCACAAAATAATCAAAAATATTTGTTAAATAAATGAGCAAATGAGTGAATAACTAAAGAGCAAAAATTCTGCAGCTCTGTGGAAATTACATAGATTTTAGAAACAGTCTAAGCCAGTTTTTTTTTAATTTTTTTATTGAGTTTATTGGTACAATCTAGGTATACAATGCAGTTACATTCATTACTGGGATCCTATACCTTGACATGACAGGTCTTGGTTCTCATTTTTTCCCCTTGTCCCTGCCCTCCCTTCACCCCCTCCTCCCCTCTTCATTTACAAACACTTTATTTCCATTTTTGCATTTTCTCATATTTTTTTTTCTTTTCCCTTATTCCCTTTTGGCTACCCTTCCCACTTTCCCTATGCCTTTAGCCCTTTTCTTCCTATTTCACACTATTAATTATCCCATTGGGATCTTGTGTACTATTATAGTTTTTCACACCAGAGAGACTATTCAGTATTTATACATGTGTGACTTATTTATTTCACTTAAGAGTATATCCTCAATATGTATCCATTTTCCTATGAATGACTCTAATTCCTCATTCTTTATGGCTGAGTAGTATTCCATTTTATAGAAAAACCACATCTTCTTTATCCAGTCTCCAATGGATGGGCAAATGGGCTGTTTCCAAGTTTTAGCTATTACAAACTGTGTTGCTGTAAACATTGGTGCACATATGTCACTGTGGTATGATTCTTTTAATTCTTTTAGAAAGATATTCAGCAGA